CAGAAGCTGTTATTTAAAGGAATGTCGGAGAGCCATGGACCAGCATTGATTGTCCACAATAATAGGACATTCACCAAAGAGGACTTTGAAAACATAACCAAACTGGCCGGTGCTACGAAAGCTAACCAGCCACTCAAAATTGGTAAATTTGGTGTTGGTTTTTGCTCAGTATATCACATCACTGATGTACCTTCCTTTGTTAGTGGTAAGTGGTTGTATATATTTGATCCAACACTTAAATACCTTAAAGGTGTAGTTCGTAATGAGAGCAGACCGGGTAAAAAAGTTCAGTATCAGTCTAAGTTTTTAGCTCAATCTCAACAAATGGCTCCTTATGAAAATTTGTTTGGTTTCAAATCTACTGCCAATTACAATGGTACCATTTTCCGACTTCCTTTTAGAACGAGTGCCAGTCAAATTAGCTCTACAATTTATGATGAGCATCTCATACAAAAAATGAAAAATGACCTTATAGTAAATGGCTCGAAGCTACTTCTTTTCCTACAGAATGTTAAGCGTATAACTTTTCGCTCAATGCAAGAGGATGAAGTATGTATTAGCAGTATCAATGAAGAAAATGGCATTAAACATTGCATAACTAATTCTCCTGCTAACAACTCAGTTAGTGAATATTGGTTAGTATCTCAACAAAATGAGAAGTTACAAGCACGAGGAGGTGACTACCAGCCTGGAACTGCATCTATAGCTTGCCAGCTGGTTAAGGACAAATCAAGTTTTGAATGCAAAGCAATTGAAGGTAGTGTGTTTTGTTTTCTTCCACTTTCACTGCCTTGCACTGGCCTACCAGTCCATGTTAATGCTAACTTTGCTGTGATGAGTAACAGGAGTGGTATCTGGACTGGAGCTTCATCTGGAGAGCCTTCTGATTCAAGGGAGTATTGGAATAAGAAGCTGACGACTACAATCATACCAAAAGCATACTGCAAATTGTTAAAAATGCTTAAAGAAATGTGTGTTGTAGGGAGTCTGGTATCATATGAATTTTATGTTTTGTGGCCACTAAGTAATGAGCTACAAATGAAATATCCATGGGAGGATATGATTCCTGTTCTGCTTAAATTAATATCACGCGAAAGCTTGTTTTACTCCAGTTCAACTCATCAGTGGTTGACATTAAATGAATCCCAATTCATTACTTCACTATTTGGATCAAGTGATTATACTTCATTTGATAAAGCTGCCTCTGTTCTACAGCTACCAGTGGTTTCATTGCCAAAATCTTATTTAGACGAGTTAAAAGATACAGCTTCCATAATTAGTGAGAGTGAGTTTACTACTAAGTTTTTGAACAACATTGACTTATTTTCTGACTGCTTTGAAACTCGAAACAAAATTCTCCTTGTTATTCTTTCAGCTATTGGATCTGATCCTGGTAAATACACTGAATGCACAATTGAGTTTAAAAGAGTTCCTTCAATTCCTACTTCACCCAATGGAACTGCCCTCAAATTAGCCAATGAGCTAGTTGATCCTATAGAATTTCAAGACATGTTTGATCCAGAAGATGGCATCTTTCCATTGCATGACTTTTATGATAACCCTCTAGTACGTGAAGCAATGATTAAGCAACTTAATTTAATGACTACCGCTATCTCATGGGCTGCAATCATCAGCAGTGCCAAAACCATTAAGTTACTATTTGATAGTGACAAAAACAAAAACAAAGCACTTAGAAGAGTAAGACGTATCATCAAATCTATTGACCAAACTACATACATGTATGAAAGTTGCCCTGATGATGCTCTTAAATCTGTTCCTTTTCTACCAGTGCTACAGATGCCTGAAAATTACATTTTGCCATGGAAAGGAAATGGCAACACAATTTTGCCACCTTCAGAAGTTTTAGCTGTGAGACACAGCACTGATTTGTGGAAGGTTGGCATTATTGCTGGAAGCCAGAAAGCTATTGTTAACATTGATTTTATGGATGGATATGGTTTAATTTCAAATCACGTGTTACAGCTATTAGAAATTTCTACAAAGCCAACACTTGATGATGTTTTAAACCATTTTCAGCTTTTAGTTGAGCTAATGGCAGGTGAGAATAGCAAGCAATTTCTTCAAACAGAAGCTTCCAGGTCTCATATACATGCTATATGTCAAAATGTATATGAATTTTTTGAAAAATTACCAAAAACAGAGATTGAAGAAAAATTGAGCTATTATTGTGATAAGCCATTCATATGGAATGGTAAAGAATTTGTAGCTCCATCTAATGTTGCAAAGAACTGGAAAAGAGAAGGAGGTCCAATTTTGTACAAAATTCCGGCCATTATGTCATTAAGAAAGAATTTGCAAGAGGTACTCCATATCCAGGATAACTTTGATCTACATAAGCTGTTGGATACTTTAGCTGAAATGTACCAAGAATATAATCAAAATCCATTGCCACCTGACTTTCATGAATTTATTGATTTATTAATGTCAGAATTAGTTTCAGCAAAAGGTAACTGTGAAGGAAGAAAACAGATAATATTAGTTGATCAAAATTATATCTTACGTCCAAACACTGACCTCTATTACAATGATGCAAAGTGGCTTAAAATTGAAAAAGATAAATATCACTTTATTCATAAGAATATGACAAGTCACAGAGCAGAATTTTTTAGGGTAGAATTCTATCGAAATAGATACTTGGACAATTTTGAAGGCACAAATTTTGGTCAGTGGGAGGACCTAACTCAGAGAATTAGTAATATTTTACGAGACTATCCACTCAATGAGAGCTTTATTAAGGAGCTTCTACAAAATTCTGATGATGCAAAAGCAAATAGAATGTGTGTAATATTAGATAAGAGACAGCATGGTAAAGAAACAACTCCTTCAGAAGACTGGAGTGATGATTTACAAGGTCCTGCTCTCTTAGTATGGAACGACACTGACTTTACTGATAATGATTTGATAGGTATACAAAAGCTTGGTCTTGGCTCTAAACGAGAAGATGATGAATCAATTGGTCAGTTTGGCATTGGTTTTAATGTTGTTTATCATGTGACTGATTGTCCTAGTTTCATATCAAGAAATAATAGTATTCTATGTGTTTTTGATCCTCACTGTCGATATGTGCAAGGAGCAAACAAAAGGTATCCTGGAAGGCAGTATAAAGACCTTAACAATGGCTTTTGGGAGACGATGAAAGACTTACGAAGTGCTTACCTTCAAGACCCTATTCCTAATCAACCTGAATATTTGAAAACTGGAACTCTCTTTCGGTATCCTCTTAGATCAACAGAAAGTCTTGTACAAAAATCAGAAATTTTAGAGAATAAAGAAGTTCACTCTTCAGAAGTTATGAATAAAAAGCTTGATGCATGGGTCATCAAGATTGAAGAAGCACTTTTGTTCCTGAATCATGTTGCACAGTTTGAGTATTATGTCATTGAGAGTAGTGAGTGTAAGTTCAATTTAAAAACTAAGTATAGTGTGACTATGAGTGAAACTGCATCAGACAATCGTCGTAATTACCAGTCTTATTTGACTCAGCAGTCTATATTGAGAAAGTCACAAAAAACTTGTATTCCTAAAGTTTTTACATATACCCTCACACTTCACAGTGAAGACAATCGTTTTATTAGTGCTTTTAAACAGAAAGAACAGGAGTGGGTTATTCAACAGGGTGTGGGTGATTTACTCAAATCAGACCAGCAATGGCAGTTTATGGATCATGTTCTACCTAAGCATGGCTTGGCAGTTCCTTTGAAGCCAATGCCATACTTTTCAGGAAAAATTTTCTGTTTTTTACCACTGCCTATTAATTCTAAACTTCCTGTTCATGTAAATGGTCAGTTTGTTTTGAGTAGCAATCGTCGTGCATTATGGAAGGGAGGAGATGATGAGTATAGTGATAAAATTAATTGGAATAAACAAATGGTGGAAGCAATAGCTTCATCATATGTTCATTTTCTTACAGAATTGAGACATCTTGTCATTATTGACTCTGGCTACAGTGATAGGGATGATTTTTATGCTGCTGTTAATAGATATTATCAATTGTTTCCATACTGGATGTCATCAAGAGTTTCTAAAGATAAAACAAGTAGCAATGCATCACCCAATGTCAGTGTTGAAGGTTTACCTGTAATAACATCACCGTCATTTAGTAATACTGGAACTACTTCTCAATCCGTTACTGTAAAGAAAGAAAAAATACTTGATCCACAATGGCTGTCTCTAGCCGAATCAGTCTTTTCCAAGCTTTGGACAATGAATGTTGAAATACTGGTAGTTGAAGCATATGACAAGAGCATTATAAAACCTAAATGGCACATACTTCACAATGACACTGACCCATTCTCTCAAGTTTATTTTCAACCTCAACTTGGTCCACAATCAAAAAATGTATTATCAATCCTGAGAAAGATAGGTATGACACTCACTTGTGCTTCCAAAGTCTTACACAAGCACTGTAAGAAATTTGGATCTTTCATTGCTAAACCAAATCAAACATTTGATTTCTACAAGAAATTTCATCCAAGCATAGTCAGCTTCAATTCTGAACCTGTCTCATCTACTCGTTTTGTAACGGAACAAAATCTTTGTGACTTCTTGAAATACATAATGAAAAAATCTGAAAGCAGTGACAATGTTGAGTTTTTTGAGCTTCCATATGATTTACCACTATTATTAACAGCAGACAGTTGCATTAGATTGTTTAAAGAAAATAATAAAGTCTTTTGCAGTAAGCATTCTGATCACTTTCCAAATAGTGCTAGTGCTTTTTTACATCCTAATATGCTAAAACTGAAAATGTCTCCCTCATACTTTTTACAAAAAGGAGAGGTTAATTTTACTTGTGTTAATGAAATATTTAATGCAAACTTACCATCAGAGCTGTCCCATTTTGAAGTAGATTGTCACATAATAGACAGATCTACATTGGAGGCCCTGTGGATTTGCTTGTCAGATGCTAGAGAAAATTTTCATCAGCACCAGAAAGAATTGGTTAGACATTGGGCTTTGTTGCCATCAATCAGTCATCTTCTCTATCGATCAGATTCTCCAGTACTACCTATTAGTCAAAGTATTAGTGAAGAAGCAGAAAATGAATTAAGTTTAAAAAGAATTTTATTTGATATTCTTCATATTCCTATACTTGATGTGACAGTGCATTACAATGCTTCCAAATACTGTCCTGTACTTTCTGACTATGACAAAGTATTTCGAGTGATATATAACAAGCAAAATCAATGCAATTTTGCAGAAAGTGCTGAGTTATCTGAGGAAGATATTAATATTTTATTGTGCTATTTCAGTAGAACTACTTTCAGATACACCCCTGCAATAAAAAACCAGATCAAATCTTTCCCTATATTTAAGACAGTAAGTGGGGTATTTACGTCATTGTTGGGAAAAAGTGTGTATTTATGGCCAAATGGTGGCTTTTGTTTGGCTGGATATGAGAAGTGGGCCTTGTTGGAAAATGTTTTGTTTCTTGAGTACAATGGATCTTGGAAAAATTTATGCGGAGATGATTTTAAAATATTAGGAGAAGTTCCTGATAAGAAAGAAATATACTGCAAGCTAGTTTTTCCACACTTTGCTGAACTAACGAAGGAAGAAAGAAAACGTCACCTTGAATATATCAAAGATTATCTTCTTGATGAGGCTATGTTTCAGCTTGACAGCAGTAATTATGAAGTGCAAGCACTTGCAAGAAAATTTTTAATTGATTTGAAGGCATTAAAATGCCTTAGTCATAACGACATTTTATTGAATATTGCTAGTTTTTGTGATCACACTATGCCTATATTCACTACTTTCCCTGAGCATTTTTATTTCATAAGTGATGATTATCATTCAGATGATTGGTTAAAGTTCTTTCGTAAACTTGATTTACAAGTGAAGATAGATTTTGATACTTTTGTTAAATTATCTGAGCAAGCTGAAAGTGGCAATCATCCTGATTTACATAAAGCAACAGATGTTCTTTTCTCTTATGTCTTCTCAGAAGCTGCTAAACCATGGCATAGCAATGAATACAAATTGTCTAAGATTGGTGACATAAGATTTGTTAAAACTAAAAAGCTTAAACGGTTTACCTGGATCAAAGCTCCTTGCAGTCCACCACATGAATATCAGTCACAAAATATTGGTCTGACTAAGCTCAATGAAGCTGTTCTTTATGAAAATGCACCACTGATATGGACTGTCAAACCAGTCATTGCCATACCTATTCCTCCACCTAACATGAATGCTACTGAAGCATTAGATGTTTTTGAGAAGCTAGGAGTGATATTAGATCCAGATCCAAAAGATGTTTACCAGAATATCATTAATATTTCACGAACAAGCTTAGCAAATTCAAAGTTGTTTTCAACTTATGATCCTTCTCTTGAATATTTCGATGAAATAAATCAGGCTGATATTTTTAGCATCATTTTTAAAATTATTCAGTACTTACATAAAAATAAAAAAACTGAACTCCTTCAAACGCTAACTGATGTACCCTGCATACCAGTTCATGCTGATGAAACAAATAGTAGAAAGCCTATTCTTGTTAGACCACAACAGGTGTTGAGTTCAACAGCAGCCATGGATTTTTTCCCATACCTTCATTATGTTCCAACAAAGTTATTTGGCATATTGGATGCTTTAAATATTATGGGTGTTAGTAATAAGCTAGAATTGAGACACATCAACTATATGCTAAGACTGATGAATGAATTTTATTCCAGGGATGCTATTGCTGATCCAAATGAAATACGTCGTATTAGAAAAGCAATCATCAAGCTTTATGATCTACTTCTGGACAGAGACATAAAAAAATCCGATAAAATATCGCAGCTTGAATTATTGTGCCTACCATCTCAAATAAATCGTTCATATTTTAAATTAGTTCCATCAAAGCAGCTTGTTTTTAAAGACACTATAAGATTTAGTCAGAGTGGTTTAAGGCCTGATAGTTTTTCTGAATCATCATATTTTTTGTTCAAAATTCCTTCAATTGATATTGGAATCAATAGCGAATTCATCAGAGAAATGGATTTCTGCCTACAGCTACCAAAAAGTATTAGACCAATTGGTCTCTCTCTCTGTGTCCATGAGACAGTTGTTGAACTTAGCATAACTAAAGAAAGTCCATTGGTTCAACATTTTGCCAAATTTCAGAAACTGTTTCCACAAATAGTTGAGCACCTTCCAAAGATAATCCATATATATGGAAGTGAACATGAAAAGGCAAATTTTGTAACAAAGTTACAAGAAATATTGACTAAAATGAGTGTGGTGGCAGCTGTTGACCTATGTGTAAGAGTGAGACTAGGTGAAGACACTGAATCTATTGGAGATTTTAAAGTTGGTTACTCTCTTCAGAAGAACAATGAAGCCTACACACTCTATGTAGATAAAGAAAATACATCTGGTCCAAGCCTCTGGCCTGAAATGGCTCAAACTATTTGCATAGAAATTAGCCGTGCACTTGACTGTGATTTGGTAAAATTCTTCCATTGCAGGAGTGTTCTTAGTCAAATACTTGCAGTACAAACAGCAAGTGACATGGAAGCATTAGTAACTAATGAAAAATTTTCAGTAATTGATAATGATGATGTGGGAGATGATTATATTCCAAGAATTGGTTGTCCTATACCAGATGCATTATTAAGAATGCTTTCGCAAGATATAAATCATATTTTAAGGCCACAAGATCTAGTTGGGTATGAAAAAGCTGTAGATCATTACATATGGGCTATGATACTTCATCCTGTTAACAACAATTTGAGATCAGATGAACTTAGACTAAAACGATATGTGATAATGTGGTCTGAAAGTGAAGAGCCTATTGAAGTATCATCTGTTTACTTATACAAGTTTGTAGCTGAAGAAATGGTTGAAATGAGCTTGGAGACAGCTTTAGTTGCTTCAGAAGGTGGATCATCTGAGCTTCAGCTGATTAAAGATAGCAAAGAGCTGCTTGCAATAAAGAGAAAAATTGCTAAGGAACTAAAGCTCATATGGAATTCTGATCTCACTAAAGATGAAAGGAAGAAAGCAGTGCGTAGGATGTTTCTAAAATACCATCCAGATAAAGTATCAAGTAGTAATAAGAGTCTTTATGAAGAAGCATTCAAATATTTACTTAGACAGCTTGAGCGACTAGAGAAAGGACTACCACTAGAAGAACCAGAAGAAGAAGAAACAGAAGATGATGACAATAAGTCAACTTATTGGCATGATTATTATTACAAGTGTAAGGATGATATCAGTAGATCAAGTTATGGAAGAGGAGGAGGAGGATGGAGTGGTGGTGGTGGAGGGGGAGGTGGAGGTGGTGGATGGTGGGCCTACATTGCTCCTAAACCTGATGAAGTTGAAGCTCAACGCTGGCTCAGACAAGCAAAATCTGATCTTGAAGCTATGAGAATCCTACGAAATTCTCTTCGTGAAAATTGTGGTGTGTCTTGCCAAGTTTCTTTTATGGCACATGAAGTTGTTGAAAAAGCATTGAAAGCTGGAATGTATAAATTAATAGGTATTAATCCTTCCAGTGAATCACTAGTTCATCATTGCCTAGAAAGGCATGCTCGTGCTTTATCATCTGAAAAACCTGGCCAGCTTGAGGAACTACCAAGAATGGCATCCAAAATGGAAAAAATATATCTTGAATCTAGGTTCCCAAATAAGTATGATAAACCAACAGCACCAGTCGATGTGTATCTTCCTGATGAAGCCAGAATTAATGCTGAAATGGCTGAAGTAATTTACATGCTTATAGAGAAAATTGTTACAAATCAACTTTAGACAGTTAGTATGTAATTTTATTGTAATAATTTAAATCATGTATTAGTTAGTTATTTAGAAACATTATTTTTGAGAATGTTGATTTGCTTATGTTTTACTTGTGTTATTTCATGATTAACTAATTTCATTGGCTAGTGAACTAACACTACGTGAATGAGGCTGAGGCTCTATACATGCATACATGAAGCTAAGCTAATATGTTTTGAAAACAATGAATATTTAACAGTGACGAAAGCTCCTTTTATTATCATTATCTAATACCTTACTCCTGCTGAACTACATTGTATAAATACAAATTGATGCTGCTGGCATGCACTCTACTTGGTTTTATAGACTAGACCCATTACTAAGAGTACATACCATCACATCTTTTACAATTAAATTTAGATTTGTTAATCACTCATACAAAACGACTTGACAATTAATCTAAGAATTACTTTTTAAAAATCATGTTATAAATTCAAGACCCAGTCTTAAATAAAGATAATAAATTTGCTGCAATGCTGGCATTTTTAATAACATTCATAAAAATGAATAATCTGATACAGTCAATGAATTGCAATACAACACTATATATAGAATGAAACTATTTACTTTTTCATGTATCAGCATTTAATATGTCTAACCTTCTATCTATTTTGGTTCAAGCTCTTTTATTTCACAGTTCCTTTTCCTTGTCAGCTTCCTATAAAGAAGCATCTGAAGTTATAGGAAGAGAAGTTGTCAACTTTAACTATGCATGGCGCTTCCAGGTAGGAAATTATGATATAGTTTCCTGCCCTGACAGTGACTTTCCAATTGAGTTTAATGATGTTCAGTGCTTTGGTCTATTCCCAGTGGCTACAGCAAGCAATAGTGATGACTGTCGTGGAGCATGCTGTGGTAATGTAATGTGTTCTGTGTGGCAGTATTCTGACTACAGTGGTTGCTGGATAGGCAAGATTACAGACTGTCATGCACCAGATATTGGGAGAGTTGGTGGAGGGGGTCGAAAAACTCCAGCTCAACCCCCTCTACCTACAACAAATGAAAGGACTTCTCGTGATTACGATGACAGCGCATGGGAGATAGTGGATGCACCTCATGATGCATTCATTAATGGTGAGTATGATGAAAGAGGTTCAACAAGACAAGGCTATCTCCCTAAGCATGTGATTTGGTATCGCAAACACTTCAATCTACCAGCCGACTGGAAGGGAAAGGTTATATGGGTGTACTTTGAGGGAGTTTTTAAAGGATCAAATATTTATCTCAATGGACAGCATTTCCATTATGAGGATTCTGGCTACACTAGTTTCACTGTTAGGCTTGACAAGGCCTCCAGTGTATTTTTTGGTGATGGTCAAGAGAATGATAATGTACTTGTAGTGCAAAGTACCCCAAACTTTGGCTATTCTGGCTGGTGGTACGAAGGAGGTGGCATTTATCGTAACACATACCTAGTTGCTGCTGATGTCATCCATTTCATACCTAACAGAATTTACATTGCCACTACTGTCAATGGAGATTTTCACCCACATTATCCAGGGGATATCAGTGAAGGAGATTATGTCGATTCAGTGACACTTGATATCAGTATGGATGTCATTAATGATGACAATCGAAAGCAAAAAAGATACTATCAAATTACAGTCTTTGATGCAGATGGAAGGCAAGTGGGCTACACCATGTCACCTACTTATACCTTTAAACCTGGAGAATCAAAGACATTACATGGTGCACTCACATTAAACAATGCTGAAGCATGGAGCCCAGCAAGACCATATCTTTATACAGTGAAATGTGACTTGTGGGCTGGTGTAATGACTGATACCATTAACGTAACTCTTGGAGTAAGAAGGGTGAAGTGGGATGCAGACCAGGGATTCTTTTTCAATGATGTCCATTTTACGTGGAAAGGCTTTAACAATCACAATGACTTCACTGGAGTTGGTATAGCTGTCCCTGACAGGATTAACCTGTTTAGGGCTCAGTCAATGAGAGCAGTGGCTGCTAATTCATGGCGCATGTCACATAACCCTCCGATACCAGTCATGCTTGATATTATGGATAAAATAGGCATTCTAGTATGGGATGAGAACAGAGAGTATGGTAATGATTCTATCTGGGTAGCCAATCAGAGGAGCATGGTGAAGAGGGATAGGAATCATCCTAGTGTCATGGCTTGGTCCTTTTGTAATAATGAAGAGTGCAATCATGGTGATCAGGATAAAAGGATAGCAAAAGAGTTCAGAAAAGTATCTAAAAGTGCTGATCCCAATCGTCCAGTGACTGCTAATATGAACTCTAATTTCGGGAATAATTTGACTTTACAGCTTGATGTGCAAGGCTTTTCTCATCAACCTGGTAGAGTTTTTGATGACTTTCACAAACAATTCCCCTCAATGCCTACCATTGGGTCTGAGTGCTGCTCATGTCCAACACAAAGAGGTGAAGACTTTCCTGACAGCTCAAATTATATACTTGGCAATTTCAATGCAGACTGTAACAAAGCTCAGACTGAGAACCAACTGAATAGATTGTTTGTTGCTGGATGCATGGTATGGACACTGTTTGACTATTATGGTGAACCGTCATTCAATGGCTGGCCTCATGTTTCTTCTTCCTTTGGTTCAATTGACTTGGCTGGATTTGCAAAAGCTTCAGCTTACTGGTATCGCTCATGGTGGCTTTACAATGGCCTGCAAAATAACACTAATGGAGGGGTTGATGTGCCTCTTAATCCTCCAAAACTTGTAAATCCTGGAGCATCTCCTACTGAAGATAATGCTGAAGATGGCTATCTGGTACACATTGTTGAGCATTGGGAGGAAAATGAAGCAGCAAAACTACGGACCATACATGTATATACTAATGCCCCATCAGTTGAGCTTGTAGTTAATGGACAATCACAAGGAGTGAAGGAGTTAGTGTGGCAAGGCTGGGCTCAGTGGGATAACATAACTTATGAAGCTGGTTATATCACAGCAACAGCTATTGATGACAAAAACTCTGTAGTAGCAACACACACAGTATTAACAGCTGGAGATGCTGAAAGGATACGAGCATTCATTGATGTTCCTAATGAAGACACTGGAACAGGATCAGCTCTACTCCTGGATGGACAAGATGCTGGTATGGTGAGTGCTGCTTTGCTTGATGGAAGTGGTAAGATTGCTCACGGTTCCTCACTTAATGTGTCATTTAGTATTGTGAGTGGACCAGGAAGGATTGTAGGAGTTGGTAATGGAGACCCAGCCTGTCATGAGCCAAACCAAGCAACATGGAGGAGTGCTTATCATGGCCTTGCTCGGGCAATTGTACAAGTGATTGAAGACCAAGTAACACCAAACAGGCACCGGATTATACAGATAGACAGAGATGGAGGTAAAAGGACTCTCATAGGAGATCCTACGGCTTCAAGAGCATCACTGGATGGTATAGTAGTAGAGGTATCTGCTCCAGGAGTTGGTACTGCAACTGTAACTATACCTGTTAGCACTGATCCTAGTGACGGAGTTCTTACCACAGCCAGAAAATCCCGCCAGTAAAACTATGTAATGCTATGCTACTGCTACTGCTTAACCCTAAACTTTGCTATATTCATAACCTAACTATTTTGATTGTTTTTGTTACAATTTTTTGCAAAATTTGGTATGAGACCATATATGATATACTGGTACTAGATATATAGATCTATACATGGATGTAATTGTAATGCCACTATATAGAACCAAATTAAATAGCTGTAACAATATTACAAAGTGAAGTTAGGATTTGGTTCTCCATTGGCAGAACACTGTATTTCAGAAGTCAAAAAAATATTTTCATTTTAACGTTAATTTACTTATTGTTATAATTTTATCCTTTACTTGATTGAGGCTTCTTCCACCAAAATGAATCATATATTACACAGTATGTTATGAGCTATTATTACATAAAATGTATATTAATTAATATAAAATTTGACTTTTTTATTATCTCTCAAGCTAATCAAAGGCTCTAAAGGATTCAGTTTACATTAGCTGGAGGTAATTACAGTAAGCATTCAGTAGACTTCAACACTGTATGTACACTTTAATTATTGCAGTATTTGTGTGGCTTTTATTCTCTTCTAATACTAGCTGTATATGAAAAAACTACATGTATTATCAAAACACTTTGTACTTCATTAACTTGCTAAGACTAATTATGCATCTTCATGATATCACTTGTGATTGATATGCCTACATTGATCTACTTATGGTATGTGCAAAGTTTGAAGTGATTCCAACTTAATTTTTTTGAATTATGGCCATTTTTTAAAAATTGGCCAATTTAAAAAAATTACCCTGTCCTATAGCCCATGCTTTTCTCTAAAAAATGGCTAAAAATTCACTCCAAATTTGTATTATATTTTTTATTTATATTGATGTACTTATGGTATGTACAAAGTTTGAGGTGATTCTGACCTAATTTTATTGAATTATGACCATTAAAAAAATTGGCTAATTGTCAAAAAATACCCTGTACTATAGCCCATGCTTTTTTTCTAAAATAATTATGGCTGAAAATTCACCCCAAATTTTTATTAAATTTTTTTATTTATATTGATGTACTTATGCTATGTAGAAAGTTTGAGGTGATTCTGACTTAATTTTTTTTTGAATTATCACCATTTAAAAAAAATTGCTTAATTTTCCAAATTTACACTGTACTATAGCCCATGCTTTTTTCTAAAAATGGCTGAAAATTCTCCCCAAATTTTTATTACAATTTTTTGATTTATATTGTGTACTTATGCTATGTAGAAAGCTTGAGGTGATTCCAACTTAATTTTTTCGAATTATGACCATTTTAAAAAATTGGCTAATTTTCAAAAATTACCCTGTACCGTAGCTTATGCTTTTTTCTTAAAAATAGCTAAAAAATCACACCAAATTTTTATTACATTTTTTATTTATATTGATTTAATTATGCTATGTAGAAAAGTTTGAGCTGATTTCAGCAAAAAATTTTTTGAGTTATGATCACTAGTAGAATACATGATAATTAACCTTTATCCTGTCAAAAGCAAAACTTTATTCTAGACATTTTTATTTATATTTCATTCCACCAGTTATTATTCACTGGTAGTTGTTCTTAATCCAATAAGCTCATTTAACATTTCTCGTGATGACTTCAATGCTGCCTATCCCAATCTACAACCTTATGCTTCTCGTGGTAGCAACTCCTACTACATCACTGCTGCCTGGAATAGTCCTGATGATGTCCCAGACTCTTTTAAGGTTGGAGATGAACTCAGAATGACTGCGGTGAGGAATGGAACACAAGAGAGCTATTATAATGCTAAGCTAACAATGGACACGCCATACTGTGTGTATATCATGGTACATGGAAGATGGAACATGAGTAATGTTAGTGATGAATAATATATTTCAAGTTGTGTATAATTTAAGCATTAAAATATCTGCCCAGCTTACACTTCTAGCTAAAAAGAGGGCTGTAACTGTGCACCCATAAATCAATATAATATCAGTATCTTTTATAGGACACTCTAGTAAGAATCTATGAATACACATGCACTGAAACAAGTAATTATTTAAAAAATACTTCCAATAATTAGTTACACTACAAGCATAAGCACATTATGTCTCTCTCACTTTCTATAACTCTTTCTCTCTTTCTTTTTCTCATAGTACTCTTTGTTTCATTTAAATTATTATAAAAGCAAACATGAATGCATAGTTCAGTCATACATGTATTATAAATATGCCATTTCTTTGTTCTTCTTAATGCTGGTGTTGGTCATACTGGTACGTTCATTGCTATTATGGTTGAGATGGCTCGCATCAAATCAGAGAAATTAGTTGATATCTTTAATTATTTGCAGTACATGAGGAAATGCCGTCCTATGATGGTCATGAATGAAGCAAGCATTAAAAAAACAATAGATAAAAAAGAATAATTATTTTGAATCATACTGATGGGCTACATGATTACTTTCTTGCTCTTTATGATAATGATAAACCAATGCCTTAATTCCTATTACCCTTTCTCTGAATAGATTGAGTATATCATTATTCATGATGCTCTTGCTGATGCTTTAAAACTTGGAAAGATTGAGGGAGCTTCCATTACTAGGCCTACATTTTTAGAAGAGACAAGCAGTGAGGGGAACTCTGAAAAGTTTTCTGACAAAATTAATTATTTTGATGAGGAGACAGAGCTGTGAGGAAAAACTGTTTAATGAAGGTGGAAATGATGATCACAGACACACTTTATTACTTTCATTGCTGAGTGATAATTGTATTGTTTTTTAGTTTTAATTATGATTAGTTACGATAGATCCAAACAAGGCAATGTAAGCTTGAAAATTAAAAAAAAATTAAAGGCAATATGTGTCCCATTATTTTAGCTAATTATACTGTAACTTTGTTATTGTTTTTATTACACTAATAAGCTATAAATCTATGTCTTTACAAAACTGCATTATAGACTTCAAGTGGCAATCACAGAACATTATGAATCCGCCCCCATGTTAAAGGGGGCAGGTCCTGTCCACTGAACATACTCGATTTAGATCAGCTTCTTGTCCTCGTTTCTTTTAGATTTAGAATGGCAGCAAAAAGTAAGCACAAACATGCATGCATTCCTTTCAAATTGATCAGACTCTAGCATTAAAACTCTGTTCCTACTAAATCTGATGAGATTACTATGAAGTCACTTCATATTCTCTGCTCTCCATTAGATCTAGACTATCAACCAGTTGAGAGATCTGGCCACTCCACAGTAATAGTTGGAGACTATTTATACATGTGGGGTGGGAAGCAGACTGATCTCCCTGAGGTACACAATGATGAAAATAAAAAAGCAATGACATCTGTTATGGAGATGTGTTACTTACCAACTGGTAAATGGGAACAGAGGCCTACCAATGGTAACCCTCCACTGGGCGTTGAGGGTTATTCATCAGTTGCAATCGGGAAATTTATTTACTACTTTGGTGGCTATTGTGGCCATGACGACTGCTTTCATAATAGTTTGTATTCCTTCAATGTGGATACATTCAATTGGAGGGAGCTTTCTCCTTCTAGTCCCGATCATCATGGTCCAAAGATGAAGGCCTACTCTGCTATGGTGGCGGTACAACTGAATGGTGAGGACTACCTGGCAGTAATAGGAGGAAGGGGATCATCTTCTAGCAATCGTTATTATAGTGAGATACACTATTATGAACTTTCTTCAGGTCAGTTTTTCATATCCTTATATCGTATAGTACTTTAATTTGGTGGAGTTTTATTTTAGTGATTGGCAGTTTGGAAGCAGAATCACCAATATTAAAACCACCAATCATTAATGCGCATGCTTAGTAATGCACATGTACACAAAAATCGCCAAATTAAAAACCGCCAATGACAATTTTACAGCAAAATCGCCAAAATAAAGCGCTACCAAAATAAAGTGCTATATAGTAGTTTATGCAATCATTTGCTTTGCACTTGACAGCAAGCAACAAAAACTGTCTTTTTTGATTTGTTGTATTTTCATTGTGCTTGATTTCATTTTCATTTTCTCAAATTTTAGTGTAAACAATGGTTTTTGATACATGTACTTGTGTGTACCAATGTTAAGAGTATAGCCCTACTCTTTCTAATGTGTATCTCAATATTATTATTATTGTTATTTTAAAAGGCAAATGGGTATCACCAAGAGTCACTAGATGGAGACTGCATTCCATTCACTCATTTACTTTGACATCAGTTACAAGCAACATGGCAATACTGTTTGGGGGCCGTACTGCATATGGATACAATAGCAACCTGTTTGTTATTAGTTTTGCCAAGACCTCAGTTGTGAGTCATAAACAATATTTTAAAAATATTCTAAATTGTATACTTCTTACTAAAAAAATTTGGTATATATATGCAGCACAATTACTGCCACAAAATTTTTAGTCCTAACTGATCGAGGCAATGGTTACTGAAAAAACATTAAAAAACTAAAGTGCACATTGTGAAATTTTTATAAAACATTTTACATGTCTTGTAATTACATGTAAATGAGGCGTTGTTTATACAACAAATTTCTATGTTTAAATTCCATGACAATGTAGTGTTATTTTTTTCAGGATATATTAGAAGCACCTAACCCTGGAGGATCAGTACAGTGGCCAGAAGGACGATATGCTCATTGTAGTGTACTTGTTAGCTGTGATGCTGGACCACACTTGCTAGTGATTGGTGGAGTGTTAAAAAATTTTAGGAATGCCTATGATACTTGGTTGTTGGACATAAATAACAGAAATTGGATGAAGCTAGTAAGTTTATTCACGAGGCCTGCTTAGTTGTAACAATGAAACTTCACCAAAATGAGTTTTTGTTCTACAATTTGCTTTAGTGAAATTAAAACAAATGTACAAAATTTAATAGACTCAATTTTGAGCATGACTTTTAAATAAGCATGTACAATGTAAGGAATATACAGTTGACTGTTAAGTAAGCAGTTATATAGAGGGTTACAGGGGCGGATCTAGGATTTTGGAAATGGGAGGGTTGCAAAATAAAATGGCACGTGAAGCGCACCGCGATTTTGACTACACCCTCTTTTTGGCGCAATTTTGTAGTTAAAATCACGGTAAAATTAACATTTCCACCATTTTTGGAACTCTTGTTGTGTTAATTATATACATTAACCACAGTAATCCTGCTATATAAACTAGGTGGTTAGCACTTTTACCACTATTGCAGCAATGAAAATATTAAAAATTTATGAGTGGGGTTCCAACCCCAGCAACCTCCCCCCTAGATCCACTACTGGGTTAATTTTACAAAAATATTGTAAACCATTCCTATTTTCTCCATGCACGTGTATTTACAATTATAAACATACTGTATTTTACCGTATAAACGCCTGTCATTATAATATATTCTAGCTATAGATACGCATATTTGTACCAAAAAATAATGCCCCCACTCTTTCGATAGCTCCTGAGTGCTTAAAAGTTAGAGCCTGGTCTAATTTGCCTGGAGTTGGGGATTTGATTCCCGCTCAGGGTCACTTTTTTATTTTTTTTTCAACGAATTTTTTTGCTTCTAAGAAATAAACGCCCGGGCGTTTAATTGGTAAAATACGGTAACCTATTTCTTTTATCTTTATAGTTTGCGGATCTGCCATTTAGTGTCACATGGAGAGAGTATTATTCCCTCTCAAGCTGGAATGTTACACGGACCACTAGTTGGATGATAATGTTTGGAGGGGAAACAACTTACAACAGTACAGCAGTAATTGAGCTCAGTAAGTGTGCAAACTGCTGTATAGCAGGAAAAATTAGCGGAGTTTTATTTGTGACTAGCTGCAATTTGCCAAACTGAAATCTACCATTTTGCTTTATCAGTGTATGCATGACTGCAAAATTACCATTGTAATTAAAAACTACCAATTACTATGCAATCATAGAATCACCAATCATAAGTGCTACCTAATTTTCTTGCCATTATTGCTAAATGTACATGCATGTGACATAAAAGACAATCATGAATGTTATGTATCAAGTACATTATTGGGGCAAGCCCCACTGTAGCAAGAGTCTTCTGTATGTATGTATGTATGTGCATCTTCAGTCACGCCCATCTTCTGGTCACGTCCCGCACTACTATATATTTATCTGTCAATGATCTAATGGGGTAGCATCATTCGGTCATTCTAATGAAATAATTGTAAAAACACGTGCAGCAAGAAGGATGTGATTCTTCGTGCTCAGAGGGTTATGATGGCATCCCAGACTTAAGATTTAATTAAAGTGGGAGTGGTTGCACAAAATAAAATGGTGACTAACACACGAGAAGAAGGTATGTGTTTTCTTGCAACAAAATAAAACAGAATTTCTGTCCAAAGCCTTCTCCAAAAGCCAGAAGAGGTTATAGATGCAATAAAGTAACTATCAAACTCGTTTTTGTTTATATGATAATAGACTACTAAACTTGACTTACTGTACAGACTATAGTCCAGGGTCCAAATGCAGCAATTAAAGAAGGTTAAGAAAGCAACTTCTTACTTGGAGGCTACATTGCTACAGCTGCCTATAGCTATCTAGTAGTTTCATCACACCCCTTCGCTACCTAAGGTAGCGAAGGGGTGGGGCAAGACTACCTATCTAGCTATATCATTATTTTGTGCACTGACTTCTTTTAGCTATCTTTTTTTAATGCTTCCTAAATGCAAAACTTAGGCTTGCCCATTTAATGTCTAGTAATACTAAATAGATTTTTATTGTTTTATAGCATTTGCTAGTCGTATGCACTGGTCTAGCAGATATATTTATCTTGACTGGTATGAGGAAGAGCTTGCAGAAAGGAAGAGAGAATGGCAAATACAACTAGATGAAGAAGTGTATCAAATTGATAAAGATCGACAATATGAGCAGTTATTCCAGGATGAATATGACGAAGAAATTTTTCAGCAGACAAAAGAGCTTAAAGTAATCCTAAAGAAAGAAAATGAGGCTCAATTTACTCAGCAACTCCAGAAAGTTACCTATCTTCTTGAGCAGTTATATATAGCCAAAGCATCACTTGAAGAGCAGAATCTACAGCTGCAGAATCAAATAAAAGAAGAACAAAGGTTAATGGCTTCAACTCTAAAAAAACAAAAAGAAAGGGAAGATGCTCATGAAGAACAGGATGAGATCATCAAGTCATTAGAAAATAAACTGGACGAGGAGAAGAAAGAGGAAAAGAAATTGAGACAAGGATTACAGGAAAAGATCGAATCACTTCAGCAGCAGCTGCATCAGCAAGTAAAAGATCACAAGGATGCATCAGTTCAGTTTGATTACCTTATTCCTCAGTCAGGTTTGTCTTTTTATAATTATCTGATCCCTTCAATGCATATTTAATTTAATTGCTACATGTACTAACTGTATGTATTAAATTGATCATAGGCCAGTTACATGTATATCTTAATGTAATGTGTCTGTATTGTTCAGATTCACTAGACTCTAGTGTCATTATAGCTGGACAGAAGCTCTTTATCCTACAAGGAGACAGGTCTCACTCACTCCAGTGGGAGAAATATGGATTCAGATTAGAGTGTCCTCAAGGAGCAGCGTCCAAGGATACTGAAGTAGCTGTTAGTGCACTAGCTGGTGGTAATTTCAAGGTACCCAAAGGTACTGTGCTAGTGAGTGCAGTATATGCAATATCAGTATCTAAGGGACTATTAAAACCACTGGTAATAGAGCTACAACATTGTGTGGATCTAAGGAAGACTAGTCAGACTGGTTGCCTCAAGTTTGTGAGAGCTCCACTGAAATCTCCTTACCAGTTCAGTATAGTTGAAGGAGGATGTTTTAGAGTTGGGAAAAGATACGGATCAATAAAGCGTGACCAATTCTGTTGTATGGGTATTGTAGCTGAGATGAGTAATGGAGACACACCTAGTGACAGTGAGAGTGAGGAAGGTTATGAGACACCACCTGAAGGTATACATACACATATATCATGCGTATTTTGAAAATATTAATTTTTTAGGATCTAATGATGACACACATAATGTTAGTGTCAATGGAGCAGGAGAGACTAGCACTTCACAACTCTCACTAATGAATAGTGCAGGATTAGGTGAGTGACTTATTGTAAAATTCTATTTTTCATAATAGAATCAGTAAATGATGGCTCTAATCAGGAAGTACAAGTTGAATCAAATTCTGGTATCAGCTTGTTCTTGTCATGAGTATAATTGTACATTCTTATTAGGTACTTTAAATGAAGCTTCTATTGCTAGTATTAAATTGTCTGAAGGTGAAGTGAAACAAAGAACAAGTAACAATAAAGGTTTGTCAGTTCTTAATTTTAACAAACATGCAGTACAATATTATACATAATTCTTATGCAGGAGTTGCTCAAAATGATGTATTATACACTGGAATGATGTATCATGAGGAGAAGAAAGTTAATCAATGGATGACCACATTTTCTGTTGTTAGAGATTTGAAAGTTCTTCAGCAGGTTTGTAATGAAATTAAATTCTTATTTTATCAAAAATTGTAGTACCTACAAAATACACATTCTAATGCTGAACAAGATGGACCATTTGTCATATTCAAGTACAATCAACCTGATGGTATCCTTCAGTTGTGTCTACAAGATACTCCATCACTTGAATCAGGATGGACTGTACATCCTGACCAGTCTCCAATACAAGTATATATCTAGTGATTATACGTTTGTATGACTGTTACTTATTTATCATTGTTGTAGATACCTCAATATGTAGTGGACAAGTTTATTGATAATCCTATGTGTTCCAGTATCCATATATCAGTGTATGCTAAACCTGGTATTGCTAAGGATCCACTTCATTGTCCCATTGAATTAATTGGGATAGATCCTTCAAAAATTATTTACATCAACCGAACACCTCCTCTGTCACATACAAGTTAGTTAATGACATGGGTCTATAGCTAGTTTTGACTATTTATATTTGTGCAGTAGACAGTACTAGCTCAAGCTCCTCTACTGCTAGTATCAGTCAAACCAGGAGAGAGACTGAAGAAGGTATGATTGATATTAATGCAATAACACACTAATCACTGAATTTGTATCATTAATAGGTACATTTAGATCTGATATTGCTCATAGAGTAATGACAGAATGTACTGGAATGATAAAGGAGAGGCTTGATCTGAATACATTAATAGATAAGCTACTTGAGAAGAGGATGATAAACGAACGAGAGAGAAATAAAGCTCTTGATGAAAGATGTGGACTAACTGCTAATCAAAGAATGGATGAGCTGCTTAGTTTAGTTAAAGCATCCATTAGAGAGGATGGAGAAGATTTTGGTTTGTTTCTAGAAATAATTAAACAAGAGAATACAAGAAGAGCTGATAGACTAGCACAGACACTATTAGATAATTATAATAGGTTTATTAGATCTGTTTAATGTTTAGATTCAATGTCATTGTGAAACACTTTAGTATTGATGCACATGAACCAACACGTTTTTCCACATGGCACAGTGACTATTTGGACTCTTATCTTGGAGTGACTTGGACCCACCCCCGACGCACATGGCTCATGATGGCTGACAGTGGAGGTCTAGATCGAGTACTAGATGGAGATGATAAAGAAGTCTTTCGAGGATTTCTAATGAAGAATCATTTAGGAGAGATGATATCAATCTTGGAGGCATCAGATCCAACATTGTTCTACTCGTTATCCATTGAGTATGTGGGTTAATCTCAGTCTCTGTAACATTCATTTATGGAAACTTGTTTATTATTAATGTGTAGCTGCAGTAAGTTGGCTAACTGTATGATTGGATTGTGGGAGAAGTTGTACAAGAGTCCGTTAGACACTTTGCCAAGTAGGGGAGTGGTTGACATAAATAAATAATTAAATTTAATATTTTATTTTTAGTTTTGAATCAAGTACTTAAGAAAACTCTTAAACTACTTGCTAGTACTAAAGAAGGCACTGATATTGTATGTTATGAGATTAGGGGAATGTTGTAGCTTTTTGTACAGTAGAGGCAATAATTGTGTCATTTTTATTAAGCATAATATTGATAATGATGTTTTTATTGTGCTACAGATATTGAAGGATAACGTTGAAGTGAGAGTTCATAATCTTCCATCATTTGAGGAATATACCAGAGATAGAGTGCCATTAGCATCTGACGTAGGGAAATTTCTATCTTTTAATGGTTAGTACATAAGATACTATTGTTATTATAGAATCAAAAATCTTAAAACATGCATGTATGTAATATAAATTTTGAATTCAATGAGAGGCAATGTTTCAAATATGTGATGTGCATATACCCATGTACATGTACTTGGCCCAGCTTGTTTCCTATAATATGAACATATAAATAGCCAATTTTAACAAGATTAAAATGCCTTTTCAACAAAATTATATCATTAGTATTTTTATAGGAACAGTTGTGAGAACGTCTAGTGTTAAGTTATTGGAGAAGAGTAAATGTTATAAATGTGAAAAGTGTGGTGAAGTATTCTCAGTTGAGACGGAATTTGAACAATGTTATACTATACCAAAACCCAGCAGGTACATAAATACTTTTATATGATGTGTTAAGAGTCTAATAACTATTGTTTTGCTTACCAAATAATGTCAGTAAATTATGATATTAATTCTTTAGTACATGACTACATCTACATCTCATAGCA